CTTATATTTGTAATAAATATGACTTACTTTATTAAAGCAGGGATGAAGCAGGGGATTCTTTTTTTTTAAATGTAGGAATAAGCTACCAGCTTCTTTTAGTCTCATGGCAAGCATTTTGATCCTAAAGAGTTTCTAGACTCTTAGTATCTATGAAATGAAGAATTTATATTTATGCATCTAAGTATTTCTTGACTTTCAGGTCGTAAAATATTCTACCCACACTTCAAGGTTTTATGTATGTTTTCTTCTTTTTTATCAACAGCATGTTCCCCAGTGTATGGTTACCACATTACCTCTTTTATCCACAGCCATAAAATTAATTGGAAGCATGTTCAACTTCTTAAGAGCTATAGTCAGTGGTGTTGTCAAGTGATTTGCTGACTTAGAAGCAGGACATGCTTTCCTAATGGATATGACTCTGAAAATCAAACATTCCCTAAAACTCAGATGTGCCAGAGTATAGTTTTTCAGTAACCTAAATTATTATTTATTTCTCCCCAATAGTAGAAAACTTAACCTTGTTAATTCTGAGTATTCTTAGTCCAACTTAATGGTATCTCCATTGCTCTATTTAGTACAATGTCCAATTTAGAATTGAAACCTCTTCTCAGATTCCATCCTCACCCTCTCCTTAGGTTTGCCTCTGTATTCCTAGAATCATTGTATCACAGAAACTGTCAATTAAGAGGTTGCTTCTTGCTTCATGATTTTGTCGTTTCCTTCCTATCCTGGCCTTTGTTTCCAAACCTATCCCCCCCACACTCTGTTTCTCAGTGCATTCTCTGAAAAGTGCTCTCCCCCAAGTGATGACCCATTTAAGTCAGGTTCAGCCTCTAGCGATTATGATCCCTCCAACATTCTCAGTTGGGGTGACTGGTGTCATTTCTTCTGCTGTGGGGCACCCACATCATAGCCATTGGACATACTAGCAGGCCCACCAACATTTTCTCTGAGCTCACTCTTGTATCTTTTTTGAGGGTCCCACGGAAACTTAAGGATCTTTTTACAAGACACCTAAGAGTGGAGGGAAACGAGAGCAGGAAGTGTCCAGATCTTTCATCCTTAGATACACCCTGTTGCCATCTCTACTTCCTTATTCCCAGAGCCTTTTGTAAGAGGTGTACCTCTGGGGCTCCTGGCTGGCGCAGTTGGTTGAGTGTCTGACTCTTGGTTTGGGCTCAGGTCCTGATCTCAGGGTTGTGGGATGGAGCCCCGCTCCTCTCTGAGTGCAGAGTCCACTTGGGTTTCTTTCTCCCTCTGCCCCTCCCCACCTTCAAATAAATAAATCTTAAAAAAAAAAAAAAAGAGGTGAACCTCTGAAGCTGTTGCCTCCTAAAAATTTCAGCTAGAAAGTGAGAAAATGAGTTGTGATGCCTTGTTAGGGAATCAAATACTTCAAATTTTAAAGGATAATTCTCTTACAATCTTCGTTCCTCGACCAGGACTTCTCTCCTGCTTCTAATTAATTTACACTTCTTTTCTGTGTTCATACTTCCCTTGCTCTCTTAAGTCTGGGTTTTTTTTGTTTGTTTTTTTCTTTTTCTTTTGGTGGTCAGGTGTTAGTGGTGTTGGAATTGAGGAACTGGATCTGTGGGCTTGCATTTCCATTCAAGATTTTCTCCTAACTGAATCCCAGACTCTCAAACACTGAAGCCAACAGTCTGATGTCTTTGTTCTCTGGCCCCATTTCTGAAAATCACCTCATGATCCAAATGGTCACCCTGCGCCTTCAGTGTTCACACTGAAGAAGGGTTCTTTTTGTGGCAGTGGGGAGGGTTATATATCAAAAACATATCAGTCAACATGGAATATCCTATTACACAACTAAAGTAGTCTTCATCTGAAGTATAATAAACTACTGTGTAATCAATTACCGCATCTTAGAAAAAACCTTACAGATGTTTAGTTTAAAAAGGTTACTAAAAGAGCTGTGTTGTTAACTCTGATACTGGTTCTGTTGTCAGGTGGTTTCTAAACAGTGTAAAAAGGAATATAAAAAAATGTATTATTTTTTTCCTCAAATTGATTGAATGAAAGGATTTTGACTTGGGGAATTGTGGGTAGTATAGTTTAGTGACATAGTCTCTGACAAATATGGTCCAAATGGGGGCAAGCCATATACATTGTGGTTGAGACCTTTGACTCTGACATCAGACCACCTTGTTTTCAAACCTAGCTCTACCACTTAATAGTTTCATAATTTCTTAGTCTCAATTTTCTCACTTGTAAAATAAATATTACTGTAGCATGGTTGGAAACATTAAATGAAATATTTCATGAAAAGCACTTCACACAGTGCCTGTCATATTTAACTGTAAGAAAATGTTCACTGCCATTTTTATGATGTTTATTTTCTCATCTACTAAAAATCTCACAGACTAAACAATAAAATTAAAATTTAGTTACTGATATCAGGAAGATAAGCATGGGTGATTTCAGAGAGCCAGTGGGGAGATTTCAGCATATGTTATGAACCAATTTCCTATAGGTTTGCGTTAGGAAATTGAGAGACAGAAGAAGCCCGAATAGGAGCAATATAGCAGAGTAGATTTTGTGTTCTGGTAAGAAAAGCTGGGGAAACCCCAAATGTAAGTAGGCCACATACAGATAATAAGTCAATGATTTTTTCCTCTTCGATCCTTGCTGAGAAAACTAAATGTACCAGATGACTCTTAAATATCCTGATTTATCCTCATCAATTGTCTAACAAGAAAAATCCTAGCACCACTTCTCTGTTGCAACTTAGTAGTAGTAGGGTATTTTGTTTGTGGTTGTTCATTTTCTTGTATTTTACTTACGCCTGTTGAATTTTATGGATATTTTGAAATACCTGGTAATTAAAGTGAAGGTTTGATAGAATGTACCATCACCAAGAAGCAGTTAAACCACAAGGACTACAGTAGGTATTTAATACATTTGAGGCCATAGATGAATTGATTTTTTAGGCCATAGACGAATTGCATTACTCTAATGCAAAGACTTGGAAATAAAAACAATGAAAAGATGAAGTTATAAGGAGAGAATGCCCTCTGTTATTCTGGTTCGAAAATGTAGAGCTGTGGTAAGTAATGCAATAGTTGTCTGCAGAAAAAGGCTAACATGATTTTGAAGGAGTCATATGTCTTTGCAAAGCAAACTAGGGATTGCCTTTATGTAAGAGGAAAAAAAAGACACTCAAACCACTTGATGATTCCAACACTATTCATGACTTGCTGTGCTGACATTCTATAGATTGATGGGGTCTTCAAGTGTGGAAATACTGAGTCATACAGAAGATGAGACGTTTCAATAATGAAAAAAATATTTATGCAGTCAGCAGATTGTCAGTTAAGGTGGTTTAGATTATAAGAGTCACCAAACAGAGACTGTGTCAGGTTGCAAATTATTCTAACCACAAAATCACTTGAAAATGAGTAAAGCAAATTTAGAGTGAATGAGTATACCCCCAATCCTTTTATTTCTTCCTTCTCCTCTTCCTCCTGTTTCTCCTCCTCATCCTGCTCTTTTTTTGAAAGGAAAACTGTTGACTCTGTATCTAAACATAATACTAGTCTCATGAGAAAAAAAAATAAAATGGAACTAATCTTTTTTCAGAAAGTGTTGCTTTTTTCCCAGTATGCAAGTGCTATAGGGTATAGATAGTGACTTGTGGTTCTATGGGGTGCTTCTTTGTCTTTTTCTGTTTGTTCTCTCTCCCTTTATGTAGTCTTTTTGTAGATTGTCTTAATGTCTCCCATTAATGACTGACTAATTGTGTCTGTTTTGTAATGACATCCATTGTTTTGTAAAATTCTTTGACAAGTTGGAGGGACAAGAAATGAAATCACTGCAGCTGTTTTAGTAACAATTATAGTTTAAAACCCTACTGGTTCATTTAACCATTCCATTTCTGACATCCAGCCCAGACTTACAACAGTTTCAGATCAAGGATCAAGAAAACATCCTGTGATCTGAGCACCCGCTCAGCGGCAATCATGCTGTCTTTCTACCCACTCATGCAGTAGCCTTCCTTCATGTTTTGGTATTTGGTTTTAATCATTACCTTGCCTTTCCTCTTCCAAACGATTGTGCCAAAAATAAAGGAAACTGAGGTAAGTGACTTCAAGTGGGTATAAGCTGAAGGTGCTATGCTAATTGTCCTCATCAGAAATCAGTCAACTGACTGTATTGGAACCAAATCAGAGTCATATTTTTCTGTTTCCTGTTTGATAAACTTCTTAATCACTTTAGCTTTGAGTTGGAATTCATACATGTTCACTTATTTTCCTTTGGTCACTATTTTTAAAGCCTTATCTGTAAATTTTATTTTCTTGCTATGAAGTATAGATTTTCATAAGCCATCTTAAATATTTTCTGGAGGAAGATGTGAAAAAATAAGTACATTTATAATAATAATATTTTGTGCTATTAGCTATGAACCAGCTATGTCTATCTTACTGACACTATCAGATCCAGTTTTTAACCATGTCTAATTGCTCACCATATTGGATAACAATACCACTATGGACTGCATTTCAAAATAGCACCAGAATTTACTCACTCTTTTAGTTCAAAAGTATCATTTTTATTGCTGAAAAGTATTAACTGAAGTGCCCCAAAGATTGGTTAACTTGTTTTCTCCAAATATCAGCTCCTTTTGGAATTAGAACTAAAAAGGTTCTGTGTCTATTATTTTATTTTATTTATTATCACTCATACTCCAAGAAAATAAAAACTACAGTAAGGAATTTCTACTGTACCAAAGAAGAGGAAGAAGAATTTCTACTGTACAAGTGGCATTGTGCTAGTCTAAGTTTCTGTCAACTGCTGTGTTGGTTGGCTTTTTGAAAACTGAGCTCAAGCACGGAATTTTTTTAGAGATCAGGTCATCCTTAGGCCGTACCCCACCGTGGCCTAGATCGTCTTTTTGGCTTCTGTATCCAATGCCTTGTAGATTATGCCCACTTTCGAGTGCTTCTTGTATTAAAGCTTTTCGTTTTTCTCACTGTCACCTTTCCCAGGTCTACAGCATCAAGACAAGAGCAAGGAATCACCATGGTACTGAAACACAGTATTAGCAAGTCAGGCTGGAGTGTGACTCCGTGGGCCCACTGGGAAAGATGCTGCCAGTATTTTCCATTCTGCAGTGGGACACGATAGACATGCAAGGAGAAGAGGAAGTATCAGCCAGCTGACTTTGGTTGGGAGCCTTTTCTTGAGAAAGCCCAGTGGGTCCTAGACATTGAAGAAAAGCATTTTTGTTTGTTTTTTCCCCTCATCTGAGCCTTTGCCAACTGTGCAACTCTTTTTTTGTCTTGCTTTTATGGATACATGGTTTAATTTTTGTTTCCTTTTGATTTTTTTTTCCCCTTTTTGAACCAACCACCTTGTCAGGAAAAGATGAACCACAAATGAAAATGCTCATTCTTTCAGGAATACAATTTTGTAGCTCTATGTGTATCTATTTTTGTAGAAATACAGAAAGTTTGATTTAGCATTGATGGGCTATTTTTGAGGGATGTATTTTTTTTAATATTGTAAAAATTGTTAAGTTCTGTTTAAAGAACTTGCTCTCAGAGAAGCACTGGCAAAAATGTTGAAAAGGCTTGTCTTTCAGATGTCTGTGATATGCTCTGTGCTTTCTAGGTTACCTCAAGTGTTTGATAGTTTCTCCTTTTTTACAAAAGTAGCACCATAGCCAAGCCAATATAGTATTGTTTTACATTAAATCTCGGTGAAGATTTAATTCCATGCTAGCTCACCTAGCTTTGAGTTATATGCATAGCTTGAAAAGGAAGTTTTTTCATGACCAACACTAAAGAAAGGATATTTCATTACTTCGATTTGTCCCAAAGAGTACTTGGAGGTTGACTAAGTTTTGCAGAAACTTTCAATCAGAGGGAGAGTTTGCCTAGCATATGTAGTTGTCTTTCTTAGCCCATCCAACTTTGACAAATGGAACCAGTTTATATCCAACTCCTGGGAAAAAAAATGCGTTTACCCATGCTACCTTTGATTGCCAGTGGCTTAGTTTCCTTGTTTCTAATTATGCAATCATGGCAATTTTTAAGGTCATATTTTAAGTGGATGGTTTTTTTCCTAGAGATGGTTTGAAGGGATAATATTTGGGAAGGTACTAGACGCGTCACAAAGCCTTTAATTCAATGGCTGTTTCTGATAATGTTACTCATCACTGTAAATTGAAAAATAATATATTATATATATAATATTTCAAACGTGTTTTTCAAGACTTTCTTGTTTGTTTAAATCTGGTCTTAGCTGATTGAACTTTTTTAAGAAAACTTTTTAGAGCAAAATGAAATTTAAATTGGAATTTATGCCACAATTACTTAAATCGGGGTAATAAATTGACTATTTATTCTTTGAAATTTATCCTTGAATACTCAGGATTCAACTTGGCATGGCCCTCAGGATCTAAATAAGGTGAAGTTGGGATAATCATTAAGACCTTGTTAGGAAAAGATTAAGGTTATAAAAGTAGCAGTTAATATCTTAAGGATTTTTGATGCAAAGTCCATTCTCATATAGCTGCTTCCAGAGATGGGTCACATTAAAAAGTTAGTGTTATATAGAAGTTTTTGTTTGGTAAAAGTTTCTCAAATGTGCCCCCTCCTGGTCTTCACCCATATGAAATAGAGTGTTTCGTGAAATACCACTTTCCATTTTAAACTGTGTATATCTTGTGCATAAACATTTTAGCTATAAGAACAGCATAACCTCTGCTCAGCTAGGCAGGGTTCTTACAGATAATTTAAAGTAGTTCCCTTATCTCTGTTTTTTGCATTAGTTTTCTTTCCTGGTGCCTCTGGTGAGTTATAAATCTATTATACACTCTCTTGTATTCTTATCATAAGTTGCTTCTTCTTAACCAGACTCTCCTTAACGCAATATGCATATTTTTACCTAATGTGAGGTCAAAACTTAAGGAATTTTCTACTTACAAATGATATGAACTTAGATTTCTAGGGAGTGGCTTGGTCAAATTATCTATATTTTGATCTATAATTTGACTTGTTACGGTTGTATGTACTTTGCCCAATCTGTGGAGCATGAAGTTAAATGACTTTATAAAATTGGTTTCCTCTTGTGTCCTGAGTTTTCAAAGACAAGTATTCGGCAGTTCCCATGGGATGACTCACTGGGGATTATTTATTTTCCTCCTCTTCCCTTGGAACCTATTAACTTCCTTTGCAGTTTCTCTTAGAACAGCGTTGTACTCCAACTCATTCAGATCATTCAATTGGATTTTCCCAATTAAGGGAGAAGAAAAGTATTAACTCTCTGCTCCTCTCCTTATTCTCCATTGAATTGAATTCAAGGAGAGAGAGACAATTGAATAGCTACACCCTGAATTTGGACTGTGTTCTGTGCCACTCCTGGTAACTATAGTATGAAAGGTTCCTTGGCTCTGGGGCCCAGGAAAAGCTGGGGGCCTGAATTCTGCTGTATCCAGGAAAGATTTGTAAGTGAGTTCTCCTGGTGAGAAAAGGCGTTGTTGACATACTACAAGGGTTAGATCCTTGCACAGACAAGGAATGGATCAAAGTCTAAGTAAAAAGAGAGTACATGTCTCTATAATTGCCTGACATCCCCTTGGTTTTGTTTTGTTTTGTTTTTTGCCTGGCATCCCCTTGTTATGATCATATTACCTTCACCACCAGAAGTTATAAAAGAGGATGAGTTGTAATTTAGCATGATATTCTGAATTTATTTTAAGTTGAAAATGCTATCACTCTCTGGGTCTGCTCTTCTCACATCAAAATGATGCTGTTGAACTTAGAGGCTTCTGACCAGCTTTACAGAGGCCTACCAACTTCCTCCCCCATTCATTTGGAACCATTCCACCTTTGACTATTTTAAACATTAGACTTCCTTCAAGGTTTCTAATGAGCTAGACCCTATTAAGTCATCTCATTTATTTGACATCTAATCTAGGCTTCGACCACTAAACTAACATGAGTTAAGGAACAACATAATAGTGATAAGTAAGATCTCAACAGGCTATTTTGTCCCTCACTGTTTATTTGAAAAGAGCCTCTAAATATTTTAAAAAACAACGTTTCTTCTTAAGAAGGTTAACTGTCCCCTCCTAACTTTTATCTGTAATTTTTTTTTCTTTCTCTGTCCTCTTAAAATTATTAACATTATTATTTTAAGCAAAAATGGCCAGGGTTGCTCTACATTTTGCAAATGAGAACCAGTGGGTTGCAAATAATTTAAGGAATTAATTCTTTTTACTTTATAAAAACTTAAAAAACAAAAAAAACAAATTCTAGGCACTGGCATAAAACATGCCCTTGAGGAGCTCATTATTTATTTTGCAAATCATATTTCCTATTCCTATTCTAAGACCCGCAGAATAGGGCAGGATCTATCTAGTTTTTGCATTTGCTATCTAGTTTAATGTTCTATTTGTCATTTAAAGTTGCAGTCAGAAACTATATTTCAAGAAACTAAATTCTATTTCTTACTGAGTGTCCCTTTGTGACATAATATTTGCCAAATTAAGTCAATGGGGCAGTGGCGTTAAGTGGTGGAAAAGGAAAGTTTATATATTGGAGTGTTGACTGAGGGATAAATAGAGAAGCAGAATGAATTAATGGAAAAGAGCATTGACTTGTGCATTAGGTCATTGTCTGAATTCTGGCTTGGCCACAATTAGATATGTGTGATTTGAGGTTTATGTATCTTATGAGTAAAGTGAGATAATAGTACCTAACTGGCAGGCTGTGAAGTGTGGAAATCATTTATCTATCTATCATCTATCTATCTATCTATCTACCTATCTATCTATCTATCATCAATCATCTCTGTCTCATAGTAGATGTTCAGTAAGTAAGAGGTACCACAAATGTCTGTCAATTAAGTAAGTAGGTCATAAAATTGAGCTCCCAGATGTCCCTTCTTTATACTTTCCGTATCCATTTTTGCAGCAATCAAATAGATATATGACTGCTTTTTCATAACAAATTGTTGCAAGAGAATCTTGTCCACTATTTGTTGAAGATAAAATGTAAATTTCTTAATTACTTCTGTTACTTTAGTGTGTCATTTATGAAGGAAAATAAATTAACCTTTTAGTGGTATGTAGGTCCAACTGTGAGTTTTCTTACATTTCCAAAATTTTATTCACCTGGGATCATATTATTTTCTCCCAAATTAAGGCAACATCTTTACTAAATCACCAAAGTTTATATTTTTTCAGTTCTATTTTGGGCTTCCTTAGCACCTGGAATAAAAACCTCTCTTTTGAAGTTATTCATTTTTTTTTTACTTGCCTTGAGGAAAAATTGCAAAATATGGTGGAAAAAAATCGTTTGCATGAAAAGGGGAGGGAAAAAAATCCCTTTACAATCTCAGCAGATTTACTCTGCTTGAGAAAAAAAGAAACAATTTTATTAGAAGCAGATGCTGACACTGTGTCAGTTATTGAAGATGGAAAGAGTTCACTTGAACCATTGCAGTTACAAAGGAGTATTGATGGCAGTTAGAATCCCTGTGATTGATCACCTTCATAGCAGACATAAGGACAGCAGAAAAGCAGAAACTGTATGAGACCAAGACTGAAATCAGCCTGCTGATTTTCATGTACAGGATCTTTAGGACCCAGTTTCATTTCGTTTTGTGTTTTCTTTCCTCCAGGGTAAAAGACACCTCTTTCAGAAAGTTTAAGGCTTTTTGAGAAATTAAAATTTATTCTGCAAAAACATGGCCTAAGGGCTCTTTAACTCTCTTATTAAAGTATTAAAACTCTTATTAAAGTCATTTTAGAAAAATTGGGTTATACTTTTAGTTCAAAAATGTATGTGGAAGACAAATAGATAAACTATACAAAAGTGGATGATTGAAGTTTGGGATATGGGTGGGCCTTTCAGGGAAACCTCAGTCTCAAGAGCTTCAAAATGTTAATTACCTTGGTAACTTGGTCGTGGACATTGGGCGCAGAACAGACTTTCAGAATTTTTCAGCGGTCTTTTTTCTTTTAGTGCTCTCTGGGAATTTCATTCTATACACTTTTCCAAAATATAGAAATAGCCATTATTATTAAAATATCTTCATTTTCTTATTTCCTTTATTGTCCATTATGCTTTTTTGTTTGTTTAAAAAATATTTGTATAGTTTCAAATAATTGATCAAAATAGTGTTCACTTGAAATTGCAAATTAATTAGATCCAATGAATTTATCTGAATCTCCTTTTAAAGAAATACTAATTGAATTAAGTGTAATTTACCAATTCCATTATATAAGTAAACAATGATACCTTCTAGAAAAGGTCAGGTTACTGTCAATTAGCTTCCTTTTTAATAATTTCTGGACTACTAAATTTTGACATAAGAATAACTCCTTTAGAATAGAAGATTCTTTAGGGGTTTCTTTGGTGTATGCATAAGATGTGAACTTTTCTAATGATATCTCTTTATACTAATAGAGATGTACATTTTTTTATGCTGTGGCTAGGGCAAAAAATAATGATTATTTACACACATGACTTAATTTCTTAGGATATTTACAATCTTGGATATTATATATGATTTAAAAAGACTATTCCATACATTTTTCTGGATATACAGTATAGGGAAGTGTTTTCATGTGAATTCTTCGTATCATTTTAAAGTGCATATATTGAAAGGGAAAACATGGATTAATTTGTTTTTATCATATATATCTAGGTAAGGTGAAATAGTTTTATAAAAAAATAAATAGTGTGGAAGACTTTATATTTGTCAGTTGATTAGGTAAACTGAAAACTATTCTTAGAAATATCACCCTACAACATTGAAATACAATAAAATTCCAGACTTGTTAGTTTTATGAGCAATTTTATGCTATCTTAATTTTACATTTCCAGAAAGACAAATTAACTAATCTTTCCTATGTTGTCAGTCTTAATTTACGAAATTCATAAAACTTTTGGCTTTACAAGCTAATTATAAAATCTTAAATTTTTTTCTGTTTTTCTTGGGGTTCGGGAGAGAGACATTTTCATATTTCGGTTCACTCTTCAAATACAGGTCGCATAACTATGTGTCAGTGATAAAAGATGGTGGAGGACTTTGTAGTACAAACAATGTTACCTTCAATTTGTTCAATAAATAATTTAATGTGAACTTAATGTTTATATTTTTAATGTAGCATTTTGGTTTGGTCTGCATTTCTTGACAATTAACTAAAGCTCTGTTTTCTTCTTATCCAATTAAGCAATTTATAAATATCTTTGGAAATTAAAACATCTTAGTGTTTTGTTTGTTTGTTTTTATGAGGTTAATTTCTAAGGCCAAGGAATTTAGTTGTTACAGTGAGGAGTGGGTTATAAAACAAGTGTTTATAATGGAAGAGCAAGTGAAATAGGCTATGTTAATTATATAACAGCAGGAAGCTTGCGAATGAATTTTTTAGTACAATGCTTCTAAAATTATCATCTCTTTATGAGAAGTGCATTTTTTGCTTTGTTTTTACACTTGTTGGATATAGAACTTGCTATAAGTATTATGAAAAACAAAAACAAAAACAAAAACAAAAAAAACCTTTCCTAACAATTCATTGGTACTTGGAAAAGAAAATTTCAAGACCTTCTATTTTTGAAGGAAGCGAGAGTTTTCCTACAATGGACCCTACTTTCTTCTTAAATGAATCATTTAGAAGTGCTAAAGTCTAGAAATAAGTGTTTAAATCAGTAGACCCTCCAACATATCAGGTGAAATAATTTGGCATTCTTAACTGTTTGCTGTATTTAGACTAGACTAGTGTTATGAGTTTTCTATGGCTGCTGTAAAAATTACCACAAACTTAATGGCTTCAAGCAACACAAATGTATTATCTTAACCACCCTGTAGGTCAGACATTCGGCACTGTTCTCAGGCTAAAATCAAAGTGTCAACTGCATTCCTTCTGGATGCTCTAAGGGAGAATCTCTTTCCTTGCTGTTGCAAGCGTCTAGAGTCCTTGACTAATGGCCCCCTTCCTCCATCTTCTAAGCCATTAGCCACTGGTCAAGTCCTTCTCACATAGCATCACTCTGACCCTCTCTTTTGCGCCTCTCTCACATGTTTAAAGACCTTTGTAATTACATTGAGTCTGCCTGCATAGTCTCCTCATCTCAAGGTTCTTAATTTAATTACATCTGCAAAGTCCTTCAACGTAAGGTAACATATTCACAGGTTCTAGAGATTAGGACGTGAGTATTTTTTTGAAGGGGGCATTATTCTACCACCACAATTAGTAGATTTCAATATATTTTTTCATAAACCCTGTAACCTGGGAGTATTTAATATAGCAAGGCTTATTGCATGTTTACAATGGTCATTTGTGGAGGATTCATCTTCCTTTGCTTAAATAATTGCATACGAAGGGAATTTCTGTTGTTATTTCAAACATTTCACGTGGTTATTATAGTGCCTTGGAATCTAAAGGGCTATGTAGTATTTATGTCAGACAAGCACTCAGGGGGTTGGAGAGCAGGACATCTGGTGCAGATTCTTCCTAGCTGAAGTGTGTTTTCTCTGGGGATAATCAACTACCATTTAATTGTTTTGCTTCCTTTTTTGGGAACGTATGATCATCCTGTGATGTCCTAAGTCTCCAAGCATCTCATTTGACCTGCTGATACACATGTGACAAAATATCTATATATGACCACATTGACATGGTAAAGCTTTTACATTTTTGTCCAGATTGAATCATTACATCTGTTATCAGTTAAGCAGAGGAATGACTATGATGGAAAGCAAACATGTTTAGATGCATTTAATGTGTAAAGTAGGTACCCATACTTTGGAATGCTGTTGATCAATAAATGAGCTAGACTGTCTTCGAAACAACACTCAAGTATAACTGTTTTACTTTCCACACCAAGTTTGGCTGTGGCTGAATGAAGAACACCAGCATTGATCTTTGCTTTGCACTTGTAAAAGAGACTATTTGCAGGGAGCCAAATATAGCAACAGAGGATTTATTATCTTGCCAAAAAATACAAAATCTGTTCCCCTTTAAACACGACACTCTATCCTTTTCTTGTGGATCTTGCTAAAAGGAAAATATAGCTTTAAACTACCCCATTCCTTCTGCGGGAAGTCCCTAATTTTTTTCAAATGGGCTATGTGTGGTTTTGTGTTTTATATTTCCTAAAGAAAATGGCTATATGAGAAATCCAGCCAGTATTAGGCATTCTTATTACAAAAAAGGAAAAAAACAAAAACAAAAACCCAAAAAACAAAACATTTCTAAACCAGAGGTAAGAGTCAATAGCAATTAAGAAAATCACACTTTGTGGCTTCAAGACTGAGTATCGCTGCGTGATGTTCTGTGTTTCATTTTGTATTGAACCAAAAAAAAATAATTTAAAAAAAATTGTCTTCAACCAACCAGGTGCTTTCTTTGCCTTAGAACATGGGTGTTTTGCTCTGAATATGGTCTGATGAGTCAATGGACTAGTCTAGATTATAAAGCTGGTAACGACAGTTAACTTTTCTGCTTGGTTTTTAATGTATATACAGAATTTTGAAAACAGTTTTGCAAACATCAACCAAGAAAATAAGCTTTCCAGTGACAGCTTTACCAGACATCTTCGTGTGGGATTTTAAAACAAACACAAGGCTGTTTGGAAATACTTGGTATATGTAAATATGCAAAATATGCCGACCAGTGCTAACAGCTCTAGGGTGTACTCCCTCATCCTGGAGCCGAATATTTTGGTGGCAGTGGTGGTTGTTTTTCCATCTTTGCTTCTCATCTCCCTCACCACCACCCCCCTCCCGTCTCCACCCACTTACCCATCCACAGACAACAGCACATACTTAACACCCTTCCCCCCTATTTCCATGCTGTTTCCAAGAGAATCATTTCAGCAGATTCCCCCTGGAAAAGGTGGGTGGTGCTTTGAAGGACTGTTTGAATTACACGATGTCATAAAGGCTGAGCTTCAAGAACTTGCTTGCACTTGCTCTGACACCCGCCTCGCACACAGCCCAGACACTCCGCAGGCCAGATTCCATTAAGGCTTGTCATTGCAAGGGGAGGGAACGTCTGGTTGAACGTGGCCTTCCTGCTATGATGTTCCCAAAGAACACAGAGTAATCATTTTAAATGTGTGCTATCAGGTTCTGTAACATCAAGGCATTCATTCATTTATAAAAAAAATAAGCATATGCTTTTCTGCCTACAGCCTAAAAGAGAAAGAGAGGACCCAAGGGAAGTTAAAAATGAAAGCCTCTTCTTACGGCATTTTGACAGGTTTGGAGACGATAAGTTGGCAAATGTGAAGTGCGAAATCCTGGGTCCTAGGACCAGATCCACTCATAATTTGTTGATATCATTTAGTCAGTTTCCTTATCAGTAGCATAAAGATCAAATGAAATAAATGTAAGCTTTTTTGAGAAAACTAAAAGTACTGTACAGATACAAAGAGAAGGAACTGATATTTATTAAAACTCCTATATATCATGAGCATTGCATGAATGTATATTAAGAAATTCTCACAAATAGCAATACGTAGACAGCATCATTTGGGAGGCAGTTAGCAATATAAAGACCATGAGGATTTCATTTTTAGTGATGCTACTTAGAAGCTGGATGTCCTTGGACAATTTCCTCAGCCTCTTTAAGTCTCAATGTGTTCACCTGTCAAATGAAGATATTAAAAGAAACTACTCCAAACAATTGTTACAGGAATTAAATAACGTATATAAATCATTTAGTTGATTACTTAGTAATCATTACCACTAAGTAAATACCATGTTTTTTCTTCTTATTAACCTTATTTTTTAGTAATTTAGGAAGTCAGTTAAGCCCTTCCCCAAGGGCACTTGATTACCAGTGACAGAGCCAGATTCAAACCCAGATTTAACCAAAAAAAGAATCAGTCCACCACACTACCCTCTAAAGTTTTTGCCATTGTCACATCTGAAGGTATTTGCTGTGAGCATATTTTAATAATTTCTTAGCCAACTGGAATAATTCCCATTTTCTTCTTCCTCCAAATCCTATGAAAATGGAGCAGTAGAAATCTCTCTGCTCCTGGAACCCCAGAACTTAATGTGTGTGTGTGTGTGTGTGTGTATGTAACATTTTTTTTTCTTCTCCATAGTTTTTCTACAGGGTCATCTATATATGCTAATAACATTCATACAAGCAAAATGAAGTAATGATTCCAATCCCTGGGAGACATAGTCTTGAAATCATATGGATGTTAAATTCTTTAGCCTAGACAGTTGACAGTGGATATAGTGTCTGTATTGACCATTTGAGATAAGCCAAACCACCTTCCTTTTAGGGAGTACCCATTCATAAAAACAAGTCTTAAAAAAGCCAGCTTTCTCAAGGAAATATTCTTAGATGCAACCACTGCTTCTTGCTCTCTGCTATATGTCTGGGCCTGCAAAGCTTCTGAACTTGTCTGTTTCCTAGCCCCATGATGATGCCCTTAGACTTATCAATAGAATTCAACCGCTTTGATGTTGGTCTTTTCATTGTGCTTCCCAGAAGAAGTTTTTACCTGTTTTTACTTCTTTGGTTGCTCATAATAGGGTCTTTCCTGCCCCAGCCCTGCTGGATTCTAGCTCCTGGAGTGAGCCAGGATCTGGCTATCCTGAAGGCAGAAAGCATTAACTTTGGCAAATTGATCACCCAAGGGCTGATCTAGGATCTGAAACCTATAAAAGTTGTGCAGAGGGGAGCTCTTTCAGACGATACAAAAGCATACTAAATTATGAAAGTAAGAATGTAGAGTACGTATGAGAAATCACAACAAATTTTGTAAAGTTGATGAATACTATGAACACAAAATTCAGAAAAATATAAATTTGTCTTCACTACCTGCTTAAACTATATGTATAACATAACATACTACTCTTCCAACAACTAACACATTTACCCTTGTTTTATCTTTAGTACATTTCCAACATGTTTCTTTTCTTTCTCATATTTGGTGGTAGAACAGGTAGGTTCTGTTCATAGAGTAATATGTTCTCAGTCCCTCTTGAAACAACGTAGTGAGGGGTTACGGTATTCCTAGGCACCATTTGTTCACTAGGACATGATTACTTAATTATATCTGGAGGTGTTTGAGAATTATACCTGGAGGTGTTGGGATATAAATATATCCCGCTAAATCCAAATCCAAACTGTATGTATCTGGTAGATAGCTTGATCCTTACCACCTCACAAAGGAAAGTGTGGTGGAGGGGAGATCTGAGTGAAAAAGAGAGTGTTTTTATATGATTGTAGTTAAAATAGCTTATCTTTTAAAATTTGCAAAAATGTATGTCAAGATAAATGCTAGGATTCATCTCAGAGCTTTGGAAGATGGCCTGTGCAAATAAGGGGCCCAGAAGTTTTATCCTCATTAGCTTAGGGCAAATCATGCCTCTTAACCATGTCTCCTATGGTAAAAAAAAAAAAAAGTCCTACTTATAAGAACATTGATATGTGGCTTCACATTTTTAATTTTCTGGTTCCTGTCTGTTACAGTACATTAATCTACAAATCCAAAGATGATAAGAGTTCCATACTGAGTAACCAAGATTAAAAAAGGCTTCAGTTTGAGAGAGGGAGACAGAAGAAAAAGCTGAAATTTTTTGGAAGGAATTCAACATAGACAAAGGGAGAAAATAGTTTGTGAGATGACTGAACTGAAGATTTTATGTGCAAATAACCTGAAGCTGAGAACAGTAAGGAATGAGTTACCTCCTGGAAAAAGCAGTCTTCTTTTTCTTAAGGATAAAAAAAGACTATATGATGTTTGCAACTACTCATGACCATGAGCCAGAACTATATAATATGTTCAAAAAAATGAAGTCTTACTGTATATTGAAGCAAAGAATGCTTTCTTAGATTATCTGAAAAGAAATGGATTTCTGACCTAGTTCTGTCATTAACAACCCATGTGCTTCTAGAAAAATCACTAAATGTCCTTGGTGTGTGTTTTCATCTGTAAAATAATGACATTAAAATTAGACAATCTTTAAGGCTTCTTCTACTTCTAAAAGTTCTGTGATTCTACATGTATTTTCTTTAAATAAAATATGTTAACCTATTTAGACATCAGAATTAAAATTTTCCTGGAGCTAAAATACTTTGGAAAGAATACCTAAATGTAAAAGATTATTTGACAACTTCTTCAGATGTCAATGTAAGTCTGAGGTATAAAAAAAGTCAATCATGACAATGTTGTACAGAGTGGAACAAAGAAAAATTCCAAAGAATCTCTTTGTAACAAATGCCATTGGTATTTACATAATCTGAAGTTTAAAAAAAAAAAAAAAAAGCAAGAGAGAGACACAATTCCCTTAAAAATTAGACCTTCTGGAATTTGTATTTCTAACACAGTTTATCCCTCAAGGAGTCAATATTCAAACCTGTGTATAATTTAGACTTTTTTGCTCATCCCATGTGTTCCACGTGCTGGTTTGAATTAGTCAGTTGTGGAAAATAGAAATGTACAAATCAAAAAAAATTTGCTTACAGCATTCTTATTACTAATCATGTCCAACACAGTAGACAAAGTTACAGACATGTATCATTAAAGACATAACAAGTTATCTAGACTTACCTCCTATTCACTTAGCTCTGACTGGTTTAAAAAACAAACTTGTGGTGTGTCCAGCTTAATTTTAACAAACTGTGTTGGCTTCTATGATTTCCACTGGAAAGCTAATCATTGAATACATTTCAATATCAATAAACATTTGTTGACTGAATCTCCTTGTGTCTAAGTTTCATGTAATTACCTACAGCCATTCACACTTCATCAGGAAGAACAATTTATCAACATAATCTGAAATCACTTACCATCTCCTCATGATGCCATATCTCATGTTGGATAAAATGAGTTACATGGACACAGTCCCTGTGCCCTAAGAATATTTTCAACTGCCTTGGTCTGGAAGTACCATTTGTCTGGATCTCAATCACATTGTGTTCTACCAATAATTTAATTATTTTGCCAAATTAATCCTATTTTATTTCCTTCATTTCTATAAGTAAATGTCTGTTTATCCTCAATTTCTTCCCCCTCGTAAATATCCTGATGCATCGTTGGTCAGTTTTCACCCTCCTAATAGCTTTATTATAGGTAGATTGTACACATGGAGCCTGGTGCACTCCTCACTGGGCAGTGGCTTTTGCTCTGTGTGGACAGAGCAGTGAGTCTATTCTGAAGTGGTAGAACAGTTTCTCCTCTTGAGCAAACCACTCAGTTCTAGAAAGGGCAACCACATTTGGTTTTTTGCATGTCTGTTTGCTCTCTTCCTAGACCTTCTGATGTTCCACTCAATATCACAGGAGTATTGACCCCCAGCACTGGCCGGAGATTAAAACATGGAACCAGGAGGTAGGGAGAAGCCAGGATATTTTGCTGCCTGCTGCCCTCTGTGCAATTCGGACAGCATCTCTGGCTGCAGCTATGTCTCCAGCGATGACTATGGCTCCTCTATGGCCTCAGCCCCTCCCAGCCTCCCAGCTCCTGCCATGTACCCTGGCCCCAGGCTCCCCTTAATATTGCTTCTCTTTTTTGCCTATACACGTGGGAGTGACTTCCTGATATTACTCTTCTCTGGTTTGCTTCCCCATCTCCCTAGCTCTTCTATTACCGTGTAACCATGTTCCTAAGTTGAATTTGCTATTTTAAGTACTCAGGGTGGTTTTTATTTACCTAGATGGAATGTGACAGGAACACTTTTGCCTATAAGGAATGGTCCCAGGAAACAAATTTTCAAGAAAAGTTTGTGTCATAGAGCTTACATGTTAGAACATGAGTATAGGAATGACCCCCATGCTGGCAGAAAGAGGGATTTTAGTAATCCATGGTATGCAGTGGCATCACAACCACCGGAAGTATCAGGAGTCTAAGAAATTAAGTCTGCTGAACTTGGCCGCTATGGCAGTGACAATGTTGCAAGTATTGCAGAGATTAGTATTTGAGACTACACTGAAGACCTTCCAAAGGAACGGAAGGAAAGAAAGAATGAAGAAAAAAGAAAGAAAGAAAGAGAAAGAAAGAAAGAAAGAAAGGAAGGAAGGAAGGAAGGAAAGAAGGAAGGAAGGAAGGAAGAAAGAAAGAGAAAGAAAGAAAGAAAGAAAGAAAGAAAGAAAGAAAGAAAGAAAGAAAGAAAAAAAGGAAAACTCAAGGTTTTGAGCTGTTAGATCAAAACACAAGTAGAAAACCAGAAAACTTCATGACAGCTTTAAATGAATGTTTTTATTCAGTATAGACACAAGGGGAAGCATGGCTGATGATCCGGACTAAAATCTTATGATACAGTTTGGAGAATTATGAAGCAGAATGGTCAAACAACTTTGACAAATGTGTTCCATTAACTGTAGGGGATTTAGTGAGGAAGGAATGATTCCCTTAGATGTCAGCAGAAACATTTAGTTGTTCTCAGATGAAGCTGGAAATTCTGGACTCCCATAATTAAATAAATTCCATAACTGAATTCCAAAATTAATTTGCTACTTGAAACAAATCCCTTCTTCTTTCTGAGGATACTAGCCTTCTTGCATGATCTACCCATATCACACCTCTAGACACAAAACGGAGTTAGATTCCATTAAGACCCAGGGGAGAATCACTAGTTATCTTGGGAAAAGAGGGCCTACACATCACAAGGATTGAAAGAATTTGCTCATGTTTACCATTTGGAAACTGAGAAGCATGCACATGAATGGATCTTGAGCATGTTAGACCAAGAAGATGGAATAGAAAGTTAGGTTGGCCAGATCTGTTGGATCCCGGATTGAATATACTAATTTGACTGGTGGGAAACGGCTCTAACAATTTGCTTGGTTAACTGGCTAAGGCATGGATGCCACAAGGGGCTAGGTTTAATGAGGTCAAGATGTCAGAACTTCCCTGCCATTATTTAAAGGAAGGAATCCAATAGAATTACAAATTTGATGTTGGAATAAAATTATTACATGCAGCTTACTTTCTCTCCTTCTGATAATGTTGCCTAAAAGTTACAGAAAACACTCTTATCCCTGGGGCACTGAGAAATGTGTTATGAGAGAAATAGCAGAATCCTTGAAAACTTGGTGTTGGCTGTCATCCGTAGATTGGGGATGATGGTAGGAATTGTCACCCTTGACATAGTCTACATGATTTTAGTGGGAATTGTGGGATCCCATAGCAACAGAGGCCAGGTGGCATTACTTAACCATCAGAGATAAGAACAGTTCAATTACCATAACTGGCTGTAGGGATGGACATCCATTCAAGAGTGTTTTAACCTCTAGGGATCTGGGGCATGGCTAAAAGATTACAGAGTCCCAGGAGCAAAATAAATAATCATAAAATACAACTTGATTTTTATTATGGGAAATTTGTGGAGCAGGAATCTTACGTGAGTCACTGCCTCTAGTCATGGCCTCTTACCCAATTCTTCCACCCAAGCTAGTCTATAAACCTGAACCCCTTGATTGAAGGAAAGACCAGGTCCCCCTTGAGAATGGCCATGGGACACTGTCGTGTGAACAGACTTTAAACGTCTTTCTAAGCATCCCCTGATATGGTATATAGCTATTTTTCCTGTCACTCTGCACTAGAGAAAGGGAAAAATCCCAGACACTGACCCTGAGTTGACCTTAATCCCTGTGGACCTGAAATGCCACTATGGTTCACTGAAGCTTACAGAAGTTGGCTGGTGAATGGTTTTGGCCCCAGTCTCTCAAAGTGGGCCTATGGAATCCATGGGTCCATCCTTTGGTTATTGTCCCAGCTCCGGATCACATAGTTGGGTGAAGAAGATGAAGAAAATGACAGAATCCCCGCAGTGGCCATTATGACAAGAAGGGCCGATGTTAGCTCCTGGAAGTGTCCATCTATACTTAAACAGTAATCCAGAAGCAAAACCCTAACTCTGGAGGAACTATATATATCAGCTTTCTCTCCAAAGAATTAAAGGATGAAGGAATAGCAGTTCCCAGGACCTCCACATTTAACTCATCCACAATAAGCAGGAGGGGCCTTGGAGCACGACTATAGACTGTCATAAACTTAATTAGGTGATGTCTCCAACCATAACTACTTTTCCAGGTGTGTATCTGAGTACAAGAAATCAAAGCAGTCTTTGGAACTCAGTACACAATTATCGATCTGGCTGGCAAAGAGCTTTCATTTTTTTTCTTCTCCATAATAATTTGCAAGGATTAAGAGAATTTCACATATCAGGGACATCAGTATACAGAGTATATACATATATGATACGGGTACAGACACTGCTGTATCTTCGGGCTTTTTAATTTTCCTGGTTTCTGTGTATAATAAAGTCCTCAAGACCTTGGTCAGGATATTCCTCAGCACATTCCACTATTCCATGACACTGATGCTGATTGAGTCTGGTAAGGAAAGAGTAGCAAGAATAACCTAAAGACCTAGGAAGTTACTTGTGTGTAGGGAGCAGGAAATAAAATAAACGAAAATCCTATCTTCTGCCTTGTCAGCAACGTTTCTAAAAGCATGTGGGAAAATTCTCTCTACGGTGAAAGGCAGGTTGCTGTAAATTGCACAGTGTATCTCTAAGAAGAAGAAATTTTGGGGGAGCAATATTTATTTTCATAAAAATAGATACATATTTCACAAGTGGACTTATCCTAGCTGTGCACCTTGCTTCTTCTTCCCGCACCAACATCCATACAATGACGGCCTCACGGTCATGGTACCCCACAGCTCATGGCTACTTTTTATTTACTTA